CTTTGTACTGTTCTGGTTCAGTGATAGTGTCTAAATAGTGCCTATTAGTAACTAAGTATTTAGTTTCTATTTCATGGTTCAAGTGACTCTGCTCTAGTCTTAAGATTATTCACTCTCATACTAACTCCACATTTAATTTCTTAAGCAAATCATGGCTTTTGGCTGATGAATTAAAGTGATAAAACAAGCTTGTTAATTCAAACTGCGTGCAATTCCTGGACATGAAAGGCAACAGAATACTTGTTCTATATGCACATACATGTAGGTAGCTGTTGTACTAACGTTGTCATTTCAAAGGCTTCAAAAAAGACAGTTCAAGTACCAAACATTGATCTCAGTATTGCATGGTTTCAGTTGAGTATAGAGTACAGTACCTCATAGCAACAATGAACCAAACTGTATGGTGTGTTACCATAGTGAGCCTTGTCAAGTACTCCACACAGAAACTCTCCCTCTCGAAAAATAACCTACAGCACAAGACACATAAGTAGCATCTTTACTGAGATGAATATAAAGGAAAGAACACTTTAAATTCATCTATTTACTTTAAATCTACCATGTACAATGTAATAATTTAAGTTTATTAACAATAAACTGTACAAATTGTACACTATACCTCAGACTCAGTCATTTCATCTTGTTTGAGAATCTCAAGGTCAAGAAACTGTCTTTTTGGCTTGTGTGTTGACCAATTCTTCAAAAGTAAATGGCTTTCAATTAATCCTTAAAACACTCCAATAAATATGGAAATATTGTACGTACCTTTGGATTTATCTTAGATTTTCCCTTTAAGTTCAGTAGTTTCAAACCATCTGGTATTATGTTCATYAGTACAGTTGAAACGACCTTAATGTAGAAAATAAAAAAAAAGCATTAACTATACCCAGTATGTATGAATTAAAACCAACCATTCTCAAGCTTTAAGCAAAGTTTGTACAATCCATCAMAGTGCTTATAAGCTCTTCAAATTCACAAGAAAGAAAGAGAGTTACATATTGTACAAAGAAGTAGCCATTAGCTTTTAGTACTTCAACTTTCAAAACATWAAATTTTCCATTTTTCTACAGAAGGAATCCAAATCTTTTATTCGCATGTAACTGCTCCAGTACCTGTTTTCCAGACCACAGCAACTKTGGTTTAACAATACAAGGTTTGACTAGTTTAATAGGTTTGTTCTTGAAATTAAGGGCACTAAACACCAACTGTTGGTAGTCCCCCCTGAAAAAAATATAATCATATTTCTGTATTATTTGGATTTCTGTATTATTTGGATTTATAACTTTGCCGCAATATTTTTAGCAGAACACTTTATTTTAATTACCTGTTGAACATCCTCCCCCTGATGGTCATCCTAACACCTGATACAATRTGATCTTGAATCAAGCCACCCAGGGGGGTGCCGTCTTTGGGTACTAAGTACTGAAAGTTTGTGCTAGCTGAAAGAAACACAAGATTTGGTAAGCAAGACAATGAAGTCAAATATAGGAAAAAAGAAGAAAGCAAACCTAGATTGTAGGCTTCTGCTCTTGCGAGCTCATTCTGAGGAAAATGCGCATTCATTTCATCACCATCAAAATCAGCATTGTAAGCTTTGCAGTTTGAATAGTGAAGACGGATAGTTTTTTCCTTAGACAAGACACGGACCTAATGAAAATAAATTATAATTCCATTAGTATCAAAACTTTAATATAATGCAGAAATCACTTGAAACTGATTGGAGACCTTGTGAGCCATTATGCTGGGCCTGTGAAGTGTGGGTTGACGGTTGAGMAGCATTACGTCTCCATTGTGTAGGTGACGATAAACCTGAAGTTTAAATATCAATACTAAATTATCTTCTTCATGAATCAATTTTGGTTGATACTGTGGCTTAAAATTTCCATTTTTTTTCTCTCAATGGCATCAACTTATTCAGTGGATGGATGGACAAAAGGATGAATGCATGATTAAATGGGAATGAATGAATGGGAATGTCAGTTAGTCAGTAAGGATGGCTATTCCTTTATAAATTCATACCTTTTTGCAGGACTGCAAAGCACTCTGTGCATTCCCYGATGGAGTCAGCAATCTCTTTGCAATGGCTTGTCTTTGATTTTCATCTGTGTCACTCAACAGTGTTTTTGTACCATTTTCATTCTCCACAAGTATAGCACTGAAAAAAATTACATGATTGTCAATCATTGTGTAGCTAATTTAGAAAAAGATTATAAACACAGTTATAGCCATACCCTGGGTGTACAAGTGGACCATTAATCACAGCCTGRCGTAGCTGTTTAACATTCCATGTGGTAACTGGCTGGGGATAAGTAAGCTTTGTTGCAAACACCTACATAAAGGGGACATGTTACACCCAAATCAAGGACAATACTATCTTCTACACCTTACATACCTCTGGGATACCAATCTCATCAGTATTGATGTAAGGATCTGGTGATATCACAGATCTGGCAGCAAAGTCTACTCGTTTACCCATCATATGCTTACGAAACAAGCCTTCTTTCTTCTCCAATAACTGTATTATATCAAACAACAAACAATAACCCATTATTCATTGAATATTCTGCTTATAATACTTTTTTTGGATATATTCTTAGGCTGTATACAAACATTTCCCACCTCCTCCCTACAGGCATGTCGGAATTATGCGCGGATGCGGACGCGCATAATTGCCCCATTTCCGCATAATTTACCAAATCGCGCATAATCCCGCATAATTCGTGTTTTTTTTCCCAATCATGTTATACCATTTTTTAAGATGACTTGCCTTCTACTAATGTTTTTTGTGGTCCATTGACTGTTTTTTT